CAGTAACAGAAGTTATGGAGGAAAGCTCTTGACTCTCAGGACCTTCCTATTGACTGCCTCTGAGACTGACCTTTCCTGCTGTCAGACTGAGCACAGGCATCACCAGCAGTCGAGATGACTAAGGAACATTGGTAGTCCTGTGTTGGACTCGACATGTGCATGGCCCCTATTCTGGAGACTCCTTCCCCTGCGGCTTCTGTTGCTTAGGCACCTACTGCTTCTCTCTTAAATTAATATTGGCAGATGAGATGTGTCAGCTGTCCTCCTGAGTTCCAATTCCAGCTTTAAACTTTAGTAACTGGACAGTGAGGAGTCTGAAACTTCTCAGGGTCATTCAAGCATAAGCATTGCTCTTACACAGTGTTTTTGAAGATGAAAGTGTCTTATAGAGTGTATCTGGTGTATCTGACAAAATTATATAAACTAACTGATACGAAAGAGCCACTAAGATATTTCTTTGTTCAATCTTGTGATGTTGGTTCTATGTTTGTAGCATATTGATATAGCTATATGATGAAATTAAGTTACTTAAATATTCCCCCCTCCTCCCAAATTTTGGATTTTTGCATGATGGAAACATTTTTAGCCATGATGACAAATCCAGAACTATTCTAGACCACTTAACTTTCTAATTTTCATCATTGTTATTTTGTACATAGATTGGGTGCCCAGAATTTGCCTTTAGTCTTCATGTTTTTTTTTCCCCTAGTGGTCATTGAGCAGTATATTCAAACAGTGTTCCTTTTAAATGTTCACCAGTCTTTACAGAAAATTAATCATCATAGTCCTTCATCTGGTGATTTATATCTGATGCTTTATAAAAAAAATATTCTTATATTGTCAATAGATGAAGTGATCCTGTTTCCTTCATTCCATTTTAGTTTGCCACTACTAAAAACAAATATGTTATCTTTTAGTGGTATGCTTAAAGTTGTTAATAACACATTTTATATTGTAATTTTTGTATCTATCTATATAATCAAAGTTGAGAATCAGTATCAATAGCCTTATTATGAGAGTAACACATCCACCTCTCAGAATTCTGACATCTTTATTCTTTGCTAGCTTGAATATTTGTTGACACCCTCTAGAATTTTAATCCCTGTTTTCTTATGAAAATATTTTTAATCTTTACTACCATGTGTCAATCATTATTTAAACTCAAAAAGTTTAATCTTTTTTTCTTTGATTCTATATATGGGTGAGACCACACTTTCTGTGTGTGTCTAGCATATTTTATTTAAGATGATATCTTCCAGTTTTATCCATGTCGCCGAAATTGACAGCCTTTGTTTTTTTAATGGCTGAAGAGTGCTTCATTGTGTATATATACTTACATTGACATATTCTTAATCCATTTATCTAACGTTAAACACTTGGTTTGTTCCTATGTCTTGTAAATAGTGTGGCAATAAATTCAGGAGTGCAGTCTCTCTTTGATATATTGGTTTCATTTTTTAATATATACCCAGTAGTGGGATGGCTGGATTATACGATACATCTTTTTTAATTTTTTGAGAAAACTTTATACTGTTTTCCATACTGGTTATACCAGTTTACAATCACACCAACAAGTGTAAGTGGTTTCTTTTTATCTACATCCTGACCAAGACTTGTTTTCTGTTGTCATTATGAAAATAGCAATTCTGACTTATTTTCTTTTGTCATTGTGATAATAGTCATTCTGACCAGAGTGAAATGGTATCCCATCGTAGGTTTTATTGGCATTTCAGAGATGGCGTTTTATGTTGAGCACTTTTTCATATGTCTTCTTTTAAGAAATGTCTATTCAGGTCTTTTCCCATTTTTAATCAGGTCATTTTATTTTTTGCAGTTGAAATATTTAAGTTCCTTACAGGTTCTGAATATTATTCCCTTGTCAGATGTATAGATTATAAATATTTTCCCCTGTTTTTCAAAGTATCTTTTCATTATATTAACAGTTTCTTTTGTCATGCAGAAGGTTTTTAGTTTAAGGGCATCTCATTTGTCTATTTTTCCCTTTATTGTCCTTGATTTTGAGGTCATATTTTTAAAATCCTTTCACAGCCATGTGTTGTGAAGTGTTTCTTCTATTTCTTTCTAATAGTTGTAAAGTTTGAGGTTTTACATGCAAGTATTTAGTTCAATTCATTTTTGAGTTGTTTTTTGTGTAATACGAAAGACAGGGTTGTTTCCCTTTCTCTCTCTCTCTCTCTCTCTCTCGCTTTCTCTCTCTCTGCATTTGGATATCCAGTTTGCTCAGTACCATTTATTGAAGTATTATCTTTATCCCAATGTATGCTTGGCATCTTTGTTGCCTGTAGTTGTGTGAATTTATTTCTTGGTTCTCTGTTTGGTTCCATTGAGATATCTATCTATCTATCTATCTATCTATCTATCTATCTATCTGTTGTGATAGTAGCATGCTGTTTTGTTTACTATAAATTTGTAGTATATTTTGAAATAAGGTTGTATAATGCCTCTAGCTTTGCTATTTTTGCAAAAGATTGCATTCCTATTCCAGGTCCTTGGTGGTTCCACATAAGTTTTAGTTTTCATTATCCATAAAGATTGTCAATGGTCTTTTCATAAGAATTGCATAACCTTTGGGCAACTTTGGACAACTTCATCTTTTTACATTATTAATACTTCCAATTCATGAATATAGGATGTCTTTTTTGTTTATTAGTATCTTCTTCAATTTTGTGTATCAAAGTTTTATAGTTTTCACTGGAGAGAACTGTCTTCTCCTTGGTTAAGTTTATTGCTAGGTATTTCATTGTTTTTGGTTGCCATTGTAAATAGAATTAATTGTTTTCTTGATATTTTTCAGATTGGTTGTTAATAGCAAATGGATACTAATGATTTTTGTAAATTGTATATTGATTTTATAGCCTATAGCTTTACTGACTTTATTAGTTCTAATTTTTTTTTTTTTTTGGTGGAGTCTTTAACCTTTTATGCATATAAGATCATGTCATCTTCAAACAGGGACAATTTGACTTTCTCCTTTCCAGTCTGGATGCTTTTATTTCTTTCTCTTGCCTGATAGTTCTGACTAGAACTTCCATATTATGTTGAAGAGAAATGGAGAAAGTAAGCATTTTGTCTTATTCCTGAACTTAGAGGAAAACCTTTTATATTTTTTGTCATTCAGAATGATGTTAGTTGTAGAGTTGTCAAACGAGGCCTGTATTGTGTTGAGGTGTATATGTTATAAAAACCTTGGGAGTTTTTATCAAGAAAAGATATTGAACTTTGTCAAATGTTTTTCTCCATCTATTGAAATGATTATGTGGTTTTTGTCTTTTTGTTAATGTGGTGTATCAAATGTATTATTTTGCCTACCTTAAATTTTGCTTATATGATTTATTGCTTGATAATAGTGAATGATATTTTCCGTGTGCTGTTGTATGTGTATTGCCAACATTTTGATAAGATTTATTTGTATATATGTTCATCAGGGATATTGGCCTGCAGTTTTCATTGTTATTTTTTCATTGTTGTGCTCTTGTCTGATGTTGGGATCAGGATAGTAATTGCCTTGTAAAACACATTTGAAAATATAGCCAACTCTTCCATTTTCTGAACTAGTTGGAGAAACATTAGTATTAGTATTTATTTACATGTTTTTTAGAAATTTTCTGTCAAATTATCAAGTCCTAGACTTTTTTGGCAGAAGATTTATATTTCTGATTCAATTTCATCACTCTTTATTTATTTAGATTTTCTATTTATTTATAGTTTAATTTTGGCAGTTTTGTGTTTAGGAATGCATGCATTTCTCCTATATTATCAAATCTGTTGGCATATAGTTGTTCATAATAGCTTCTTATGATCCTTCGCATTACTGCAGTGTTCATTGTAATGTGTTCCTTTTAACTGAGTTTATTTATTTGTGACTTCTTTTGTTTTTGCTATTCTAACCAAAACTTGTCAATTTCATTTTCTCAAATTAAAAACTATGTTTTGCTGATCTTTTAAAATTTATAAGTCTCTATTTTATTTGTTTTTTGCTTTTTTTTGAGTGAACAATTTTTATTGAAACCTTCAAAGATTAAAGAGGACCCAGTGGTGAGTTTGGGTACCGTAACAGAAAATCTCATCTAACTGTACCATCATTCACAGGAATAAACAAACCCAAACATGACAAAATTCAAATTCCATGTAATTGCCACAAGTGAATGTAAACAAACTAATCATTTCATCATAACCTTCCTTTGATCATATAAAAAAGGGAATTTACTTGGCATAAAATATGCAAAACTTAATGAAAACACAATTCTCTCAAATTTATCAAACTTATTTAAAAGGACACAGAATGCACTTGAAATGATTAAATGATTTAAGCTGATATTTTTATTGCAAATTGTTTTAACTTCAGTTTAACCCCCATGCATGGTATTCAAAAAGAACACAGCTTTAGAATTAGAAAGATTACTTAAATTAAAAAGAGGAATTAAGTACTAAAATTAGGAAAAGGCTGGGTTTCCTCTGAAAGCAATCTTCAGGTAACCAATATGTATAGAAAAAGAATATTAATTTTGGTTACATTTTCCTCCTTACTATTAAATATACAAACTATATTACCTTTCAAATTAAAATACCTACATGAGATAGCTTTAATAGGAAACATTCAGGCCAGAACTTAGAAAAATATTAAGAAAGAAATTTGCTGGGTCACTAATATCTTAATTTATAATTATTCAAACATTTTATCTGTTTTTGCTTTGAACTTCATAATTTCCTTCCTTTTGCCACTTTGGTTTTAGTTGGTTCTTGTTTTTATAGAACTGAGAGTTACTTTAGAATTGATATTTCTAAGAGGAACTTGAGAATTAATCAATACTAAAGTGAATTTTGACTTTGTTTCTACCAGCAGTTCAAGGTATACCAAAGATCAAATATATTTAGCCAAAGTTCAAAGGCTTATTACATGTTTGGTGATAAGCTTGCACCTGGTGTTTATAAAATCTCCAAATTCCAAGCTTTCTATTGCTTGTATGCAAAGCATATCAATGGATCTCTTCGTTATCCTGTTGATTTGTCTTTCGTGTTTGATAATTTTTTCTCTGTGGCCTGGAAGACATGCTAGGAGGAAGCTTCCACCTGGCCCCATGCCTCTCCCAATTGTTGGAAATATTCTCCAGTTAAATATTAAGGACATCAGCAAATCCCTAAGCATGGTAAGTGTAATTAATTTTCTTTTAATTGCTTATAATGAATGAATTAGAAAACCCTAAGGCTAAATAAAATATGGTCCCAAACATCAAGTTTTTTTTTTAATGGTTTTAAAGGAGAGTGAACTCCCAGATCTTATTTTAGAATGTAAGGAATGAGAACTAATAATCTTTACTAAAAGAGGAATCAGCAGATCAAAGGCAAACAAATGTTTACTCAAGAATGGTAGTTTCAGTTTGGGTAGCAATTAGAGATGGTACCACTCAGGAGAGGTAAGCGGCATTAATATGCAAGAATTTATTTAAATTCCATAAACGTCTGTCATGTTACTTTATTCGTGGTTTGGACAAATGATCCATTATCAGTCATTAGTAAGAATATGTGTTTGCATCAGTGAGGCAGGAAAAAACTGTATATAAAATATTTGTAAAAATTAGGATTTGTTTTTCTTACATTGCATATTGTTGAGAGCCCAGTTTTGTAATGAATGTATTTTATATGTTCAAAATGTTTATTGCAGTAATGTTTGCAAGTGCATGAAATTGAAAACATTTAAATGTTAACCAATAGAAGAAGAATTGATGAATAAGTTATATAGCACATGGATACAATAGAATTCTATATAATAATAAAGTGAATTACTTGGATGTACTCATAGACACAAAAATGACTCTTACAGATACTGAATACAAAACATTATGTTGCAGAAGAAAGCCTAAGTATACTAGTATTTGCATACATTGCAATAATATGCAAAAGATACTGTGAAAATGTCTAGCACAATTTTTGAAATTTCAAGATGTTTGCTGTGAAAATGTCTAGCACAATTTTTGAAATTTCAAAATGCATGATTGAAGGCATGAATATGTAGTAAAGGAAATATACAAAAATGATTAAATGCAGTTTGGGATGACAGATAACTCAAGAGGAATGGTTAGGGAAGTAGACACAGTTGGATAGGCTATTGAAGAAGCTATTCTCACACAGTTACAAGAATTCTGGATTGAAATATAGCTATAATTAAGCATTAATCAGGCTTTACTTTGACCTACTTCCTTGTAACTGCATCACCTAGCATGGATATATTTTCACAGTTCCTTTGTGACTCTCTAAGTTCATCGGCAGTCAACATGGAGTAAGCAGCCCAACAGAGAGTCTCTCATACCAAGCCTGGAATCTAGTTAAGCTCACAGATCCATGATAAGATTGTGGAAATTGCCAAAAGTAGAAATACTCTGGGCATATTGTGATTTTGGTCTCCTTTTTAAAAAATTGTATTAAGTGAAGAGGATACAAATGATTCTTTTGGCAACTTTGATGTACTAAGTAGTGGCAAAGAAACCTGTGCTTTAAGTTTACTCTCTGCTCCCATCTGTGCACTTGTACTCAGATTTTTTTTATCCCTATACCACCAACTTTCTCCTTTTTTCATCTTTAAGGTCCATTATGCCATTCTGTAGGCCTTTGAAGTTCCGTAGTTTAGTTCCCACTTGTAAGTGAGAACATGGGATGATTGGTTTCCCATTCCTGCATTACTTCACTTAGCATGAGATCTCTAATTCCATAGAAGTCATTGCAAAGGATATCACTTCATTCCTTTTCATGGCTGAATACTATCCCATGGTGTGTATGTATGTGTGTGTGTGTATACACACACACACAAACACACATACAAACACACACACACACACACACACACACCCCACATTTTCATTAGACACTGATCAACTGATGATTATTTAGATTGACTTTGCATCTTTTCAATTGTGAATTTTGCTGCAATGAACACGAGTGGAGATGTGTTTTTTGTATAAACGATATCTCCTTTATTCTTTGATAAACTCAAGTAAAACCAAACCGCTTTCAGTAAAAATTAAAAAAAAACGGATGCCGCGAGTTCCGGTCGCAGAGGCAGGGATGCGCCATCCCCACGAGCTCCACCCACCAGGACAGCCTCATCCGCTCTGGGGTGGCCGGCCCAGTACCATCCCGCTGCTCCCGGAGAAGCCTGATGAAGTCCTCTGATATCCATCAGGATTTATTTACAGTTACTACAAGGTGTGCGCTGCACAACTAATATCGGAATCTCAGCGGGTGGCCGATTATGAGAGTCAAAAACATGCAAGCAATGTTCGACTTATTACATACTTCGCCCCAGGGATGGTGGGTGTCCTGCCAAGAGGCTCTGGGCAGAAAAATGGAAAAATAAGAAGGATCAAGAGAACTGCCTATGACACAAGGCTGTGAGCATCAGGGCTGGTGTTTTCCACAACTTCCATGCATGCCTCCTGGCATCACAAAATGAGGTATTCTTACTCAGACAAATCTGGAACACTGTGGAGCTGTCTTCCCTGCCCTGGTGAAGCGGCATTTAGAGCTTATTGGAGGCAAAAGATGGTCCGGAGAATTTTGCAATCTGCTAAGAGCTGCGACTGGGTGGAGAACTTTGGGCCAATCATCCATGTCTTGGAGCCTCAGTTTTTCAACCAGGCTATAATAATCACACTTTCCTCTCTGAGCTTTGTGAATATGAAATGAAGGGGCAGATATGAGGTGCGTTGTGACTTGCCAGGCATCACACTCAGGCACTGAGGAAACAGATAAATAATACGTAGAGCTGCCTTAAAGAAATTCATAGGATAGTACAGGAGATTAATGTTGTGTGAGCAAGTAGCTATGATGTGTTTAATAACATGCTGCACAAAGAACTATGGAGACAAAAGGCAAGTGAATCATGATCAGGGAAGATCTTACTGAAGTGTTGGCATTTGAGCTGGGTTTGTAGGCCTAACTGGATTTTACCAGATGGAGTCTGTAGGAGTGAGGAAGGGGATACCAATCTCTTAGGTGCCGTTCACCAAAAAGTATGCATTAAGCCACAGAAGAGTGGACCTAAGCCAGCTTTTATGTAACCTCACATTGGAATCTGATTTCCCATTAGGAGAGTATTTATGATCAAAAAGAGCAGAATTAATTTTTTCAATCCATGAAATTATCTAGCAACAGTGCCTGGAACTCCTCATTCAATAGTCATTTAGTGATTATTCATTCCTAATGGTCAGAAATAATGGAATTCACGGCCAGTTGACAATTACCTGTCTAAACACAAATTATTTTCCATCCGCTCATGTTCTAACCATGAATGTTACACTTACATCTGAGCACTTAGGGAAGACTCAAAACAGCAAACAGAAAATCAGTACTGAATTCCAGCTGGTGTTTGCTTTGTAGAGACCCAAGGGCTTAGTCTCTGCTGCTCTGATGGAGCCATGATTCACTCCACTCAAGATCTGGTCACGCCAATAACCTTGGGGACTGTTTATGGAAGGGAAGATGTTTGGATTTTAGAGCAAAGGCAATTCAAACACTCTTTGTCAAAGACTCCTTTGAAAACATTAAAGGAGGTTTCCTCTGCTGTATTGGAAATTTTGATCTAACATTGACTTATTTATAAATCCAAAAAAATTATGAAAAAGTCACTTCTAATTTGCAAAGTTTCATTGCCAAATCTTCCTGAAGCACACATTGATTTGAACTCAAGGTAATAACTAAGCTGTCTTAAACTTTCACGGTTTCTGTTATATTTGCTCAATAAATGAGTCAATAACTTCTCTTCTCTAAACTATTTACATAGCAATAGGTATATGAACCTTGAAGGGATTATATGAAATCTGTCTTTTTCCTGAGACTGCCAGTTACAGAGCCCTTGAAAGCTTCCTGTGCTTTGACTCTGGGTTCAAAGAGACCATGTTAGCATCCCTTGCTCATTAATTTACTAATTCACAGATTTTGGCAAGTTTTAAAGTCTTTTTGAGATTTTTCTTCTGTGTCTTTAATATATAATTCAGTGTCTACTTGGTGTGAAGCACTATTTTAGATGTTTGCAAGAAATTTTCAATAGTGAATGAAAATTTTAAAAGACTATATTATGAAATTTACAATCTAGAGGATAGGCAGTTATTTATGAAACAATTGTACAAGTAAGCATATGATTACAGCCTATGTAGAAGAGATATGGTAGAAAGAGGCCATGTAGCTGGAGGGTATCAGAAGAGCAGTCAGCAAAGGATTCTCCAAGGAAGTAAAATTGGATTGAGATTCAAAGATTATTAGGCATTAACCAGATAACATACAGGAAAAAAAAAACCCATTTGATGAGTTTGGAAACTAAGACAGATTTTCTTCTCTTCCCAAAACCCTGGAAAGAGAGTCAAAATGTTTGTCAACCAGACAGTAAGTAAGAACATGGTACAAAATTAGATTGGACAGATAAGCAGGGGTAAGGTCATGCTGGTCTTGAAAGGATTTTAAGAAAATTGGTCTTTATAATAGGCACAATATGATTCCATTAATATGATTAAAGGACTGCCATGCTGACATTTGCCTGTGAAAAGATCATTCTGGTTGTGTTATGGAGAATGAGTGGCACTGTAGCAAATGAAATCCTACATTAGACAAGTTGAAAGACCGTGGGTCCTATATAAACTTGGTGTACCAAATAAGCTGATGACAGGAAGATTCAAACAATGCAAAGGGTAAAAGAGTATAGGAATTCATTTCTGTGTTATGTACAGATCTATAGATAAGTGTGATGGCTGCTTCTCCTTCATGAGGTCATCAGAGAACTGTCTTCTTCAATCTAAGTGGTTATACTATCTTGTGTTTCTTGACTATTGTCCTTATTTGCATGATCACAGTAGGGGCATCCCCATGCCATCATTTCAACCCCTGGCTAGGGGGAAAATAAAGGACAAGCAATGACCTATTATGTGACAATGAGGAATCTGCACACATCACTTCTGCTAACATCAGTCATGGAAACCTAGTCTCATGTTCACATCTAGCTTCAAGTGAACCTCAGAAAAGTCAATGACCAGGTTGCTATGATCTCATGTATTATGAAAACTTAGAGGTGCCAGGTATTTGAAAGAAGATATGGAGAGTGAATAATGAGGGACAATTTTTAGTCTATACATGGGGCAAGTTGATGGCGTTTCCATTTAAAAATGGGAGGAAAATCACATCATTTATTGTAATCGTAGGAAGAAAGGGGAAATTTGATGTAATGATTGGTTTGAAGAAAAAGTTAATAAGATAATAGAAGCAAAATTTATAAAATATCCCTTCTCACATAGTAGGAGCTGAATAAAAAGATTCCAATTAATGATAATGATAATAACAATATTACTAATTATATGGTGATAATTACCATTTAACTAATATATTAACCTTTGAAAAACTGTTTTTAGCCGGGTGTGGTGACTCAAACCTGTAACCCCAGCACTTTGGGAGGCAAAGGTGAGAGGATTGCCTGAGTTCAGGGGTTCAAGACCAGCCTAAGCAACATAGTGAGACCTCATCTCTACAATAAATCAAAAAATTAGCTGGATATGGTGGCGCATGCCCGTAGTTCCAGCAACCTGGAAGGCTGAGGCAGAAGGATCATCTGAGCCCAGTAGGTGGAGGCTGCAGTGGCTGAGAGCAGTGTGCCACTGCACTCCAGCCTGGGAGATGGAGTGAGACTCCAGCTCAAAAAAGAAAAACTGTTTCTAAAAGTTGAAAACTTTTATAATGGGTAAATGAATATTAAAATGTCTGTTTAGTAAGACTGAAAATATTTTCCTCACTTATCTACATTACAGTTTTGAAATTCTCATTTTTTTCTGTCTTCTGTTCTTTTTACAGCTAGCAAAAGATTATGGCCCTGTGTTCACTGTGTATTTTGGTATGAAACCCACTGTGATATTATATGGATACGAAGCCATCAAGGAAGCCCTGATTGATTATGGAGAAGAATTTTCTGACAGAGGGAGTTTTCCAGTTATAGAAAAATTCACCAAAGGTTTAGGTATGCATTTCTTTAGGGAATTTGTGTGGGTTTCTAAGTTATAAAGACTTCAAATAGGCTAAGAAATTGAAATTATAAGCATTTAGAAAAATGTATGAAACATACTTTTTATAATTCCCACATAACATTGAATAATTTCTCTATAAAGAATTATTAAGCCATATTTAAAATTTATGAATATGGCACAGTGTCTTCATAAAACATTAATGTCAGGGAAAGCAAATTATCTAACCACTAATGTTCTAAGACAGGCTTATTTCAAATTATGACAAGTTAAGAACTTGAGAAAGAGACAGACAAAACAGAGAAAAGGGGAATATGACTAAATTATTTTATTCACCAAACATTTTTCTTTCTGGTTTGATTCATTGATACCCAGAAACTATGAAGGAAACTTGCATAGTATGTACAGAACCAACATAGGTGTCAAATATTTCTAGCCTTGCCCTCAGTCTTCTATTCCAAAAAAGCATACAAGTTTTGAAACCAATTTAATTCAAAGCACAAAGTAAAGAGGATCATGAAGAAACATGTGGTAAGTATGAATCGGAATTGACATTAGAAAAGCTCTTTTTATTAAGTACTTGAGTGATCTCCTTTTTGTTTTTGGATTTGGGCTTACACTGTTCGGTCTTCTGATGAATCAATGGATTTTGACATGATCTACAGATTCAACGCAATACGCGTTGTATCACCAACATCATTCTTCTCAGACCTGGAAATCACAATACAGAAATTCATATGGAAACATAATCGATCACGAATAGACACAACAATCCTTAGAAAAAGAAACAAAGCTGGAGGTATCACACTTCCAGACTTCAAAATTTACTATAAGGCTACAGTAATCAAAACAGCCTGGTATTGGTATAAGAACAGGCACATAGACCAAGGGAACAGGATAGAGATTCCAGAAACAAAGCCTCAATTTCTCAACAAACTCATCTTTGACAACAACCACTGGGGAGAGGAGAGCCTATTCAGTAAATGGTGCTGGAAAAACTGGCTGGTCACATGCAGAAGATTGAAACAGGACCCCTACCGATCACCATACACAAAAATTAGCTCTAAATAGATCAAAGACCTAAACGTAAAACCTCAAACAAGAAGAATCTTAGAAAATGCAGGAAACACCCTTATGGAAATTGGAACTGGCAACCTATTCCTGATCAGAACCCTAAGTGCCAATACCATAAGAAATAAGATAGACAAGTGGAACCTCCTCAAACTGACAACTTCTGCAAAGCAAAAGAAACCATCAAGAGAGCAGGGAGACAACCCACAGAATGGGAAAAAAATACTTGCCAACTGTATATCTGACAAAGGCTTAACATCTAGGATCTACAAGGAACTCAAACACACCGAAAGGAAAAAAAACAGCCCCATTAAAAAATGGGCAAAAAATAGACATGTTTAGAAATAAGATATACAGGCAGCCAGCAGGCACATGAAAAAGTGCTCAGCCTCATCCATCCTCAGAGAAATGTAAATCAAAACCACAATGAGATACCACCTAACCCCAGTAAGAAGGACCATCATTAATAAAGCAAACAATAACAGATGCTGGCAAGATACAGAGAGAAAGGAACACTTCTATACTGCTGGTGGGAATGCAAACTAGTGCCACATCTCTGGAAGACAGTGTGGAGATTTCTGAAAGAACTAGAAATTGACTTTCCATGTGACCCAGCAATTCCCCTATTGGGAATATACCCAGAGGAGCTCAAATCATTCTACAAAAAAGATATCTGCACATGCATGTTTGTTGCAACTCTATTCACAGTAGCAAAAACATAGAACCAACCATGCTGCCCATTGAAGCTGGACTGAATTTTTAAAATGTGGTGTATATACACAATGGAATATTATGCAGCCCTAAAGAAGGAAAAACATATGGACTTCGCAGCAACTTGGATGGATTTAGAGTCAATCATACTCAGTGATCTATCACAGAAACAAAGAACAGAGTACTATATGTTCTCACTCATAAGCGGACCTTGAACAATTATCATGATACTATAAGAAAGGATGTGGCAGTAGTGGGAAACTGCTGGGGGCGGTGGGATTGGCAGTTGAGGGAAACTGCTAGGGGAGGGAGGGGCATTCCTCATCAATAAGAATACCTGCATAATCAACGTTTGTATACCTAACTCTGAATTGTACCCCACATCTTTAAAATAAAAAGTAAAAGCAAAGTGCTTCAATGATTGCAGGTCTTACCTGAGGAATAGATTGTTTTGAAATTCGTTCCAATGAAAAAGAACTGTGTCACTTTTCTTGATAATTGCCTCCTCCTGTTTCTCCTCAAATATATTTACAGTAAGAAAAGCCAGCGCTGGAACTTAACCTGTGACTCGGAGTCACCACGATTTATTGCTGTGAGATAATAGTGCAAGCATTTTGCCTTCATGATCTTCTGCATCCTTGTAAACCAGAGACAGACAGTTCATAGAGCAATTCTGAGGTTCAGAGGTTCTGGTGGATGAGGAAGACTTTAGTGATGTGTGAAATCAAGAGTCCTGACTGCAAAATACCAGGCTGGGTTAAGAGAGAAGGTGGAGGTGGTGAGGTGGGCCTCAATGGTAATTTTTGAAGTTGAAACCACTATTTACACATACCTGCTTAAGTGTCGGTATCAATCCCTGAGATAAGAGATTAGTGAGAATGATGACTCTCTCTCTCTTTCTCTCTCTCTCTATCTATCTCTATCTTCTCTCTCTCTCTCTGTCTCTGTCTCTATCTCTATCTCTATCTCTATCTCTATCTCTATCTCTTCCTTACAGGAATTGTTTTCAGCAGTGGGCAAACATGGAAGCAAACCCGGCGTTTCTCCCTTATGGTGTTGCGGCAGATGGGGATGGGGAAGAAAACTCTTGAGGACCAAATTCAAGAAGAAGCCTTGTGTCTGGTGGAAGCATTAAAAAAAACCAATGGTGCATATTTCTATATATAATTGAAAGTCATCATTTGGGTAAAATAAATGCTACTATAAATAGACTAAAAATGCTGTGATGGCTCAGTAGAATAGAATTTTACTTTTTACTCACATAACTGTAATAAGAGGTCAAGTAGGTGGCAAAACAGCCTTTTCAGGCACCAAATTGATAGGTACTTTGATGTACTCAGCATTTGGCTTCCAGTGTCATACCAGGTTCTTCATTTCTATGGCAGTAAAAGGAGAAGAAAAGGGGAAAAGAGCAAATGTTGTTTAGCCCAGGCATGGAAGAGGCACCCAAAACTTCTCTCACGTTTCATGGGCTGTCACATAGCAACAGGGTCACATCTAACTGCTGGAGAAGCTAGAAAAAGTGGTTCACGGCCAGACTCAGTGACTCAGCCTATAATCCCAGCACTTTGGGAGGCTGAGGCGAGTGGATTGCCTGAGCCCAGGGAGTCGAGAACAGCCCAGATAACTTGGCAAGATCTCATCTCTACAATTTAAAAAAAAATTAGCCGGGCATGGTAGCTTGCACCTGTAGTTCCTGCTATTTGGAAGGCTGAGGTGGAAGGATCGCCAGATCCCAGCAGGTAGACACTGGGGTGGCTTTGAGTGTGCCACTGTACTCCAGCCTGGTAGACAGAGTGCGACTCCAACTCAAAAAAAAAAAAAAAAAAGAGATGGTTCATGCTGTACCCCGGAGGAACAGGAGAAGATAGGTTTTGGTCATCAGCTAGAAATCTTGGCCACATTCATGTGAAAAATTAAGTAACTTTTTTAGTAACTTCTTGAGAAACAATGCAGGGGTCACAAAGTCTTCAACTCCCATGGATGAGTGTGAGTGTGGAGAGAGGGAGCTGAAACAGCACAAATCTCTACAGTGTGTAAATTTGTGTATGCACATGCAAGAATGGGAGAGGGTGGAGGAACAAGGGGAGAGCAGGAGACCAGGCAAGGAAGGGGTGTGATCAGGATAACATTCACACGTGGTTTCGTAACTACAATATTTAAATATTTTTAAATAAGCTATTACTTTAATGACAGCAAATCCTTTATGAAAAATTGACATTGCATTTGTTGTTTTTTTTTTTTTGAGTTGGAGTCTCACTCTGTTGCCCAGACTGGAGTGCAGTGGCCGCTCCCGGCCACCGCTGCCACCACCTGCTGGGCTCCGGCGATCCTTCCGCCTCAGCCTTCCAAGTAGCTGGAACTACAGGCGTGCACTACCACGCCCAGCTAATTTTTGATTTATTGTAGAGATGACGTCACACCAAGTTGCCCAGGCGGGTCTCTAACCCATGGGCTCAGGCAATCCACTCACCTCAGCCTCCCAAAGTGCTGGGATTATAGGCTGAGCCATGGAATCCAGCCTGTAAATTTATTTTTACACATACTATGCTGAATGAATATTTTCCTATGCTTAACTTTCAAATGTTTTCAAGAACATTCTTAACTTAGTAGTACAGTAGTCTTTTATGTTGGATGTGCCATAGTTTATTTCACTGATTTTCTATTTTAACCAGATAGGTTGTTTCTAGTTTAACTTTGGAAATATAATTAGTAAAGCAACGCTTATTAGGTTCTGATTTCTTTTTCTGAGTTGGAGTCTCACTCTGTCGCCCAGACCGGAGTGCAGTGGCATGCTCCCAGCCACCACAGCCTCAACCTACTGGGCTCTGGCAATCCTTCCACCTCAGCCTTCCAAGTAGCCAGAATTATAGGCATGCGCTACCAAACCCGGCTAGCTTTTTATTTATTGTAGAAACAAGTTCTCACCAAGTTGCCCAGTGAGTCTTGAACCCACGGGCTAGGTTTTGATATTTTGAGGCATCAATCTGGGAAAGGAATTTTGCACACTTATTGTATATTTCAAACAGAACTTATTAACCGATTCACCTTTTCCTGTGGTGACTATGACCTTCGTCAAATTACTGACCTTTGATTCCGCATAGTATGCTTGATACCACCTAGTTATGGGGACCTCTCTTTCCTGGGGAAGCCCATTTCCTCATGGGAAACCTTTAACAGTTAGAAATTTCTTTCACAGATTAAGCAGAACCATTTGTTCTTGTAAATTCTACCTTTTGATCCCAGCTCGCTTTCTCCTTCTGGAATTGTGGTATTATGGTTGTCACCACACAGAGGAAGGAGGGACTTACCTCTCACCCCAAATCTGGTTCTAATGTTACCACACACATATACCAACAGGATACAAAAAGTGTTAATACTCCATAATACTGATTTCAGTGAAGAGTAGGGTGGCTCACAACCAGGTCCGGAAAGGGTGTGAGAGGGTAGGGCAAGGATATTGGCCTGAGGTTTTAATGGTGGCATGGGGTGAGGCTGGGGTGAGGATCCCTATGAGCAGGCCAGGGCCTTTGTGGATTAGCCATCCTGCTTGTGCCAAAGGAGGGAGCAATCAGACCTCTTGATCAGCTTGTATAGACCTGGATAGAAAAGTTAGGGGTGAGGCTTCAAACTTCCTGCCTGACGCATCAATAAATGGAGTCATACTCTTTTTTACATATATATAGGAAGTCTGTTTCTGAAATGATAATGAACTTTTTGTTTCAAATATCTGAATAAACCCTAATTTCCTTCATCATTCTTCTACAAGAAAGCATACTTGATTTTTTCAGCTGCATTTGCAGATTACAATGTCAGATTTCCATAGTTTCTTGCTTTCCTGCTTAGGTTGCTCAGTTTTCTGTGGGAATCAGGAAAGAGTATTCACACGGAGAGCTAAAGTCTATCCATTAAAAAATATAAAAGTATATTAGAAATAAAATCTCCCTATGTTGCCAAGGCTGGACCTGAAGTTCAAGTCTCTAGTGATCGATCTAATAACAGCCTCTCAAGTAGCTGGGGCTGCAGGCATGAACCAGGGTGTCTGGCTTCCAAGATATTTATAAATGACATTTTTTATTTGGATGCATTCTTTTGAAATGAAAACCTTTAGAAAATAATGCAAATAGCTGTCTCGGGAAAAATTAACAAATAAACTGGACTACATTACACAATTTTGTTTAGGAAACACAATAAATTTTAATTTAGCCATGTGTAGCTTATAGCAATGATGGCATGTTCAGGTAGTCCCCATTCTTAAGAAATATTAAAAGTCAACCCTTTCTAATTATCTTAAACAATCAATTTAAGATTTATATGATGATTGTGTAATGACTTCTCACTTCTATGGATTTTAGCATCTCCTTGTGATCCCACTCTCCTTCTGGCCTGTGTTCCCGGCAATGTGATGAGCTCTATCATTTTCCAGAAGCGTTTTGACTATGATGATCAGAAATTTCTAACCTTGCTTAAGTATGTTCATGAAATCCTCGCAATTGCAAGCACCCTCTGGATACAGGTAAGATCAAGGTTCTCTATGAGTGTGTAATAATATTTCAGTTCATCTATTCCTCATATATAGTCCATCCCTCTGTCTTACCTATAATGTCCTAAATAATGCATATCATACTATTATTGTAATCCATTAGCACCATGTCCAATCTATTTAGTGCGTTTAAATAAACTTTGAAACATAAAATAAAGCAGAAAAATATAAATGCACTGCATTTTTAGTAAAGTATTTACTTTGAGGAAAGTGATTTCCCACTTTTTTCTATAGGTATAGGTAGTGTGGATGTGAGATATAGTTCTTACTATGGTACACTATCAGAAAATGTTAGTAGCCATTCTGTATGGCTAAATTCTGTATAGATCATAAGATTGTGATATGTCCCACTTAGGAATTACCCTAGACAATACATAGTCTAAGCTTTCATTTTTTGGAACAGGAAAATGTGACCCAGAGCTATGGAACATATTTTCTAAAGTAGCCTCACCAAGACAAGGAATGAGCTCGATCTATAATCTAGATTTTTTGATTCAGTATGAAGCTGCCAGCCTAAGTAAATTACCTTGAGACAAAACAAATACATTAAGTTATCAAGGTTCTGTCTAAGACAGGGTAGCTGAGCTCGAGGACCAGATAGATCAGGTAAATAGGTACATTCCTGAGAGTGGAAGAGGCCTAAATTAACAAATAATTAAGCTAAGTGATTCGGGTCCTTCCTTGCTCTTCTGGATGTAGTTTTTCTTTATTACAACAAAAGATGGTAAGCCTACAAAAATTTTTAGAGGATTTCCTGAATAAATACCTGGAGGATACACTGGGATGAACTGGGATCAACTAGTAATATCTAGCTCTGATAGTACTCATTTGGTGTCTTAAACTGTAAGGAGTTATGGCTAAAAATGAATGTAAGTGGCTTTGAAGTTATTTGGAAACCTGTGCCTACTGTCACTCTGGCTACATTATCAGAGCTCTTTCTTTCCAATTGCAAGTGTGCTCCAGTGCAAGAAACATATCTTAGTTATCTCTATCCAATCAGAACATAGAAAATGTCTAACAGGTAATAAGGGCCTGTAATGTTTGCTGAGGAAATAAATGAAGGATTGTTTCTTCTTTCAGTTCTGCAATTTGGTCCCTTTTTTACATTATTTCCCAGGAAGTCACAGAAAATTATTTAAAAATGTTGCTGCCCTAAAGAAGTTTATTATGGAGCAAATAAAAGAACATCAAGAATCTCTGGACACCTCTAACCCTCGGGATTTCATTGACTATTTCCTGATTAGAATGGAAAAGGTTTGACCCTCGTTGGCTACTTTATCTTTTTGGATGAAATGTCTTATAGATTAGATTAGATCTTTTTTTTTTGAGAAATCAGTATATTAAAACAAATGCTCCTTCCTAAAGATGGCAATCATTGCATATGATGCATATTGCTTGTATAAACCATATGCAGAGCACTCAGGGATGGATAGGAATCCATAATGGCTCACCATTGAAACCCTTTAGGAAATCTTCACAGATGAGGTAGGCTTTTAGGGAACTCTTGCTTTGATTAACAGAAAGGACACCAAATCCATCCTGGTTGCTGCAAAGCCATATATTTGTCATTCTTTATGGCTGCATAATATCCCATTGTGTATAGGTACCACATTTTTTTTATCCAGTTCAGCTTCAATGGCCAACATGGTTGGTTCATATTTTTGCTATTGTGAATAAAACTCATAAGAGGACCTTGAACAGTTATAATGCTATAAGAAAGCGATTGGCAGTAATGGGAAACTGTTGGTGGGGGTGAGGGTGGGATTGGCAGTTGAAGGAAACTACTAGGGCAAAGAGGGGCATACTTCATTAACAGGGGTACCTGCATGATCAATGTTTGTATACCAAGCCTGAATTGTATCCCACATCTTTACATTAAAAATAAAAAAATAAAAATAAAAACAGAAAGGACAAATTAAATCCAAGAAATAAATGTCAAGTATAGTTATAAAGTGTGTGGAATTTTCAAAAAAGTCATCTTGATTATAATTAAGGAACAGTGGTGGGTTTAATGACTGATGAAATTGGAAATAGTGATGTTGTTTAGGGTGAGAAGTTTTGGAGGCCTGATGAGAAAAATTGACAGTAGAGTCTAGACTTGACAGTGCCTAGCAGTGATGACTTAATAAAATTATGTGTGAAGAAATTACACAGGAACTGATTGATTCCAGTGGTTGAGAAAGTGAAAAAAATCAAAGTGGCCTGCAAGTACATAGCTCGGCTTATAATTTAACAACTTGAAGGAATCCTAACACTTCACCTAACTTTACCTTTAGCTATAGCATGTTCCAATATCTGATTTAATTATCTGTGTACTAATTAAATATTGAACGTTTTCCTGTTACCTGAAAAGCCTTTTATCTCTCAAAAAACTTTAACATGTCATTTCTAGGAAAAACACAATAAGCAGTCTGAGTTTACCATGGACAACTTCGTCATTACCGCATGGGATATCTTTAGTGCAGGAACAGAGACAACAAGCACCACCCTGAGATATGTACTTTTGCTCCTGCTGAAGCACCCTGAGATCACAGGTATGATCACAGATGATGGGTGGAGAAATTCCAGGTAAAAATTGGCACACAACAGTGATAACCACCCTATGATTTATCTGCTTAGAAAAGGTAGAAGAACATTTGTCTTCATTAGTCTATCTACCTATCATGGTTGCATTCAACTCAAATTAGGTTATTGTTTAATAGAATTAAGTGTTTAAACAGCAACAGGGGGTTTGAAGGGCAGAGGTCTTTATTTTCCCTGCTATGGTGCAATATCTTCAATTTGGGTAGAGATAGGTGCTGTAGCAGAGTAACTTTAAGCTTTGGGAAGAACTAGCCTCTTACATTCTCTCCAAGGATCTCACTTGATATGCCTTCTATGTCCAGATAAACTATTTTAGTCAAAAGATAGTTCTACCCAAATACATTCTGTATGACTAAACTTCATGAAGCTTATATCCATAACATCAGCACCAAATTTTTCCTGGCTATTAAGACCCTTTTGCTCTCCCATTATAAAGAGAAGATGCTTCAAAATGGTGCAAGTCATAATCATAGACACAAAATGCCTTTGATAAGACACGTTGTGAGGAGTAGTGCTTCTCTGTTCCTTTCGCATGACAGAGACTACCTCAGCTAAATAACATACCAAACTCTTATAAGAACTACCTTGATTATGACTAGAAATGGTCTAAAGCATTTTAATCTCAGCTTTTAAATCTTCTGCACATGAAAACCCTTCTGAGTGTCGTATTTCTCAATCACTTTCATTTTCTATTTGTAGTTTATCTTAATTCCCATGCATTATATATTTCCCTTTTCTTCTTTCTACATTCTCCCTTCACTTTGCCATTCTCCTGAGCATTTCAATTTTATAAGTAGATCCAGATCACTTTATACCACCACTCTCTTCTACATGAAACTCAAGCATCTCAACATGAGAAGGTGAAATTTAAAACATGTCTAAAATAACTTTTTCTTCTTGATTACTATCAAATCACAGAATTTCATATCATCCATTACAAAGGCATATTCCTTAATACTATAAGAAAGAGATTGGCAGTAGTGGGAAACTGTCAGGGGATGGGGATGGGATGGCAGTTGAGGGAAACTGCTAGGGGAGGAAGGGGCTTATCTCATCAACAAGGGTACCTGCATAATCAATGTTCGTATACCTGATCCTGAGTTGTACCCCACATCTTTAGAATAAATAATAATAATAATATTTTTTTTTTAAAAAGACATAATCTTCAGGTAGTTGATAAATACCACTTGACCAAAGTAGCATGACATATTAGTACACTGAAACATGGGTTATAGATTTTATTTTTGCTTTTTATTTTTTTGAGTCTTCTTTTCTGTTTATTCTATTTTTTCTATTTTTATTTTTTATTTTAAAGTTGTGGGGTACAATTCAGGGTTAGGTATACAAACCTTGATCATGCAGGTACCTTTGTTGATGAGGTGTGCCCTTCCCTTCCCTAGCAATTTCCCTCAACTGCCAATCCCACCCCCTCTCCTCTGGCAGTTTCCCACTATTATCAATCTCTTTCTTATAGTATTATAATAATTGTTTAAGATCCGCTAATGAATGAGAACATATAGTACTCTGTTTTTTGTTTCTGTGATAGATCACTAAGTATAATCAACTCTAAATCCATCTAAGTTGCTGTGAAGTCCATGTGTTTGTCCTTCTTTATGGCTGCATAATATTCCATTGTGTATATGGGTTATAGATTTTAATAGCGAATGACTTCAAATTCTGATTCTATTAATAGGTTGCTGTTTGACCTCAGACTCAGGACGACTTCTCCATATCTCTGGTCCTTTATCTGTTTAAAGAGGATTATATGGGAACAGCCATCTATTGCTGGGTGTCCTAAGAAAATATAACTAATTCTTTTTAAGTAACCAAGGTAATAGCAAACATAAAGGCATATTTTGGAATTCAGAAGTAATATAATGAATATAGCAGCAAGCCAGTCAGATATGACATTATTAATAAAAATTGACTCTCTTCTTGTTCCACTTTGCAGAATCAATGAAATGTCTTATTCTATTTTTCTATTAAGATTTTACTGCACTGGGTAGTTCTCACCCTCTTGAAACTTACATATTTGAAATAAAAACTGCATACACACAGTGATTAAACTACTGGGACATAAAAGAGTCTTCAAGATCCCACATTCAGGTCTGCCAAGACAATGTACCCAAAATAGAGAATCAGAGTTGAGAAACTAATTTTGCAGTTCAACTGCGTTTTATATGTGCATATACTTAAGCCTCTAATAAACTTATGCCAGAAACAAATCTCCATTTTTATTATTTCCTTTAGGAGGTAGTGACACATAATTTCCCATCTCCTCACTGTCAACCAGAACAGGGAAATGATTAAGGGATCAAAGAAAAAGTACCACAAGTATTTCACATTTCATATAAATTCTGATTCCTGCCCTGACAGCTAAAGTCCAGGAAGAAATTGACCAAGTGATTGGCAGATGCCGGAGCCCCTGCATGCAAGATAGAAGTCACATGCCCTACACGGACGCTGTCATACATGAGATCCAGAGATACATTGACCTCACCCCCATCATTCTACCCCATGCAGTAACCCAGGACTTTACGTTTAGAGAATATTTTATCCCAAAGGTGAGAGAAACTTTATCTATACTTCTTCAATGTCTTAGCCCATCAATCATCACGGTGGTAGAAGATTGCCTAAACTTCTACAGTCTTGAGGCACTCATAACTCAGGTGTCTCAACCTCTGATTGCATGTTTCTTTCCTTATAATCTCTAACACAATTTTTTAAATACTATAGTGCTTAGACTCTCACAGAAATTTCAGTGCATTGGTAGATATACACTTTGCTTCATTAGCCTAATCAGATGTACACATCCCTGCTTTCCAGTGTATGATTTATTACTCTTCCCATTGACCTGTATCCTCTATCCCCACCTACCTACCCTACTGTCTGTTTCCCTTGCTTGTAAAAAGGCCATTACAGAAGTTTCTTTCCTTCCTGCCTTCCTTTGGGCTACTGATCCCTCCTTAAGAAGAAAAGGCAGCCCAGGAAACCGATGTCATCATCATCAACCCCAAAGGTGTTTGTATAATTTTCACCAGTACCACATGTGTTCTCAATTGTACCCAACGATCCTACTTTATCAAGTAATTCAACTTGCTTCACCAGGCTTCACAATAACTTTCAACCTCCAATTCTTCTCAGACTTCCAACTCTCCATTACCTTATTTTTTTTTTTTAATCTTTTTTTAAAGGTGTGGGGAACAATTCAGGGTTAGGTACACAAATGTTCACTATGCAGGTACCCTTGTTGATAAGGTGTGTCCCCCCTCCCCTGGCAGATTCCTACTGCTGCCAGCCCCGTCACCACCCACCTCCCTGCCCCCCAGCAGTTCCCCACTACTGCCAAACCTTTCCTTATAGAATTACAATAATTGTTCAAGGTCCGCTTACGAGTGAGAACATGTGATACTCAGTTCTTTGTTTCTGTGATACATCACTCAGTATTATAGACTAAGTTCACCCGGGTTGCTGTGAAGTTCATGATTTTGTCCTTCTTTATGGCTGCATAATATTCCATCGTGTATATGTACCACATTTTTTTTAATCCAATCCTCTTTTGATGGAAGCTGCACAGTTGCTTCCATGTTCTTGCTACTGTAAACAATGCTGCGATAAACATATGTGTGCAGGTATCCTTTTCATAGAGTGATTTCAGTTTTTCTGGGTATATTCCCAGTAGGGAGATTGTGGGATCATATGGAAGGTTGATTTTTAGATCTTTTAGGAATCGCCCCACTTTTTTCCACAGAGGTTGTACTAGTTTACACTCCCACCAACAGAGTAGAAGTGTTCCCTTTCTGCCGAATCCTCTCCAGCATCTGTTGTTTTTTGAGTTGTTGGTGATGGCCATCCTGACTGGAGTTAGGTGGTATCCTGACTGGAGTTAGGTGCAAATTAAAATTTGCATATCTAGTGAGGCTGAGCATTTTTTTCATGTATCTGTTGGCTGCTCATATGTCTTCTTTTGAGAAGTGTCTATTCATATCTTCTGCCCACTTTGCAATGGGGCTGTTTGTTTTTTTCTTTTTGGCATGTTCGAGTTCTTTGTAGATCCTAGATGTTAAGACTTTGTCAGATATACATTTGCAAATATTTTTTCCCAGTCTGGGGGCTGTCTCCCTGCTCTCTTGATGGTTTCTTTGGTTTTGCAGAAGCTTGTCAGTTTGATGAGGTCCCACTTGTCTAGCTCATCTCTTAAGGCATGGGCACTTTGGGTTTTGATCAGGAATTGGTTGCCAGTTCCAAATTCCATAAGAGTGTCTCCTGCATTTTCTAAGGTTCTTATAGTTTGAGGTTTTACGTTTAGGTCTTTGATCCATTTAGAGTTGATTTTTGTGTATGGAGATAGGTAGGGGTCTTGTTTTAATCTTCTGCATGTGGTCAGCCAGTTTTCCCAGCATCATTTACCGAATAGGTTCTCCTCTCCCCAGTGATTGGTGGTGGAGGCTTTTTCAAAGATGATTTGGTTGAGAAATGGAGGTTTGTGCTTCTGGAATCTCTATCCTGTTCCCTTGGTCTTTATGCCTATTCTTGTACCAATACCAGGCTGTTTTGATTATTGTAGCTTTATAATAAAGTTTAAAATCTGGGAGTGTGATACCTTCCACTTCAGTTTTTTGCTGAGGATTGTTTTAACTACTCATGGTCATTTATGTTTCCATATGAATTACTGTGCTGTTGTTTCCAGGTCTAAGAATGCTGCTGGTAACATAAAGGGTATTGCGTTAAATCTGTAGGTTACCTTGTGTTCCTTATTTTTATTAGACAAGCTATCCTTCTGCTTCACCAAAAAATTCTGAGTTCCTGGAAGGAAAATATCTCAAACCCCCTCATTAGATTTACACACTTAACTACACCGACACCCTTTGAATTCTCATGCATAATTGTTGTTGTGATAGAAAGGTTCTCCTTTTATCTAATGTAAGGATTCCTCTGTAGGAAGAATTCCTATCATTTCACTTTTTTCTGGAATCCTTCTTAAATAGTCATTTCATTTTGCTTCTTAATTTGTCCTCTCCCTCCCTTCCAGTTTCTTTTCATCAGCACTTGAAACATCTTCAATTAACTCTCAATTTTATAATTTTTTATTGACACCCAATCATTATACATATTTACTGAGTACAACATGATGTTTTGATACATGCATAAACTGTGTAACGATCAAACCAGGATAATTAGCATATTTAGCACCATAAGTATTTATCATTTTTTTGTGACAAAAGTATACAAAAAACTTTACTTCTAGTTATTTTAAAATATAAAATGCATTCTTGTTAATACTAGATAATAGACTAAGCAATAAAGTTCCAAAACGTGTTGTTGTTTTTAACCTAACTGGAATTTTCTACCCTTTGGTCAATTTTTCACCATCTCCTCCCTCCCCTACCTTTCCCATCCTTTGGAAACCACCATTCTTCTCTCTACATCTATAGGGACACTTTTTAGATTTCACAGATGAGTGAGATAACACTTTATTTGTCTTTCTGTGCCTGGATTATTTCACTTAACATAATGTCCTCCAGTTTCATTCATGTCTGTATATTTTATTTATTTTATGAATTAATAGCATTGCATTGTATGTGTGTGTGTGTATATATATATATTTTTTTTTTTCATTCCTGTTAGCTGACATTTAGTTTGATTTCATCTATTGGCTATTCCAAATAGTGTGACAATAAACAACAGAGTGTGGCTATCTTTTTGACTTACTGATATCATTTTCTTTGACTATATACCTAGTAGTAGGACTGCTAGATCATATGGCAGTTCTATTTTTATTGTTTTGAAGAACTTTCACACTATTTCCGTAATACCTAGTATAATTTGAAAACTCACCAACAGTGTGTAAAGGGTGGATTTCTCCAGATCCTGTCTGATATTTGTTATCTTTTAATTTTTTCATAGTAGCCACTCTACAATCAGAAGGGTCATTGTGGTTGTAGTTCACATTTTCCCGATGACTGGTGATGCTGAACATTTTTTCACAAATAATTTGCATATTTGTGGGCTTTTTTGAAATGTCTATTTATGTTTTTTGCTAATTTTAATTGAGTTTTTGTCATTGTTGAGATGTGTGAATTCCTTATATATTTTGGTTATAAATCCTTTATCAGATGTATCACTTGCAAATATATTCTCTTGTTCTGTAGGTTGTATTTTTGCTTTGTTGATTCCTTCCTTTGGTGTGCAGTAGTTTCTTAGTTCATTGCAATCCATTTCTGTTTTTGTTTTGTTATCCATGTCTTTTCAGTTTTTATTTTTTAAATGCTTGCATAGACCAAAGCCATTGCCAAGGTTTTCACCTGTTTTCTTAAAGTATTTCCATAGTTTCAGGAGTCACATAAAACATTTTTTCTCCATTTTGAGTTATATTTTGTATGTGGTGAGAGATCAGGGTATAATGTCATTCTTCTGCATATGAATATTTAGTTTTCTCAGCACCGTTGATTGAAGAGACTGTCCTTTCCCCATTATGTGTACAATTTTGTAGAAAATCAGTTGATTATAGATTTATTTCTGGGTTTTCTAGTCTATTTTATCAGTCACTGTGTCTGTTTTTTGCCAGTGCCATACTGTTTTGGTTACTATAGCTTTTGCAGTATGTATTGAAACTGGGTAGTGTGATGCCACCAGCTTTGTTAATTTTGCTGAAAATCATGTTTTCTAATTGGGGACTTCTGCGGTGCCACACAAATTTTAAGATTGTTTTATCTAATTCTGCTAAGTGTGCCATTGGTATTTTGATAGGAATGCAGTGAATAGGTCCATTGCTTTGGGTAGTATGGAGATTTTAGCAATATTAATTATTCCAATCCATGAACATGAAAACACTTTTAATTATTTGTATCGTCTCTATTTTTTTTTTTATGTTTTAAAATATTTGTTATGGAGAGCTTCACCTCCTTGGTTAAATTTATCTCAAGGTATTTTATATTTTTTTGTCCTTATTGTAAATGGAACTGTTTATTGATTTTTTTAGATAATTTGCTATTTGTGAACAGAAACGCTACACTTTTTGTTTGTTCATTTTGTTTTCTTCAATTTTACTAAATTAATTTATGAGTTCTAACAGTTTTTTAGTAAAGACTTTGCTTTTCTCTATATAAAAGACTGTATTGCCTGCAGATAGGTACAATTTTGACTTCCTCTTTTTCAGTTTGGATGCCCTTTGTTTCTTTCTCTTATCTGGTTGCTCTGGCTAGGACTTCTCATTCTATATTAAATAAAAGTGGTGTAAGTGGGAATTCTTGTCTTGTTCCACATCATAGAGAAAAAGATTTCATCATTCTCCTATTCAGTATGATGTTAGCTGGGGTTTGTTCTATATTACCTTTATTGTGTTTGGGTATGTCTCCTTCTAATTTGTCAAGAGTTGTTATTATAAAGCATTTTGAAATTTATCAAATGCTTCTTTGTATGTCTATTGAGATGATCATGTGATTTTTGTCCTTCAAGAAACAAAGAACTGAATACCACAAGTTCTCATCTATAAGTGGGTCTTGAACGTTTGTCACTCTATATCTTTTAGCTGGATAACTCAATTCATGTATACTCAAGATAA